GAACTTAACCAATGGTCAGAGAACAAAAAGTCATCTTTGGCTAGTAGACTTGGCTGGCAGTGAGCGCGTGGGGAAAACTGAAGCTGAAGGAGAAAGGTTGAAGGAATCTCAAGTTCATAAATAAATCTTTATCCGTACTCGGCGATGTTATTGCAGCCCTTGCCTCCAAATCAGGCCACATACCTTACAGGAACTCGAAGCTTACTCTTGCAACAACCGCCACTGATGACACTGTTATCCGGAGGCTCGCCAATGAAGATAAAGCCACGGTATTTGCTACTGATGCTATTTTATCAACTCTCATGTGCGCTCCTAGGTCTTTTTACTCTTGGGATATTGTTGTTCAGCGTGTTGGGAATAAGCTTTTCTTTGATAAGCGTGATGGGTCGCAGCTGGATTTGCTTTATGTTCATGAGACCTCTCAGGAGCCATTGCCTGAGGAGAATGATGATATTAACTCTGCTTATTCGCTTAGTGTTGAGGCTTCTTATATCAATCAGAATTTCTCTCAACAAGTTTTGATTAGGGATGGGGAAAAGGTTACTTTTGATGAGCCTAATACTTTTGCTAATGAAGGTGTGAGGTGCATAGTGTTGTTGATGTCAACAACCAAAGGTCTTTCCTTACTTTGAATGCATTGAATGAGTTTGATCCAAAGTATTCTGGTGTTGATTGGAGGCAGAAGTTGGAGACGCAAAGAGGTGTTGTTTTGGCTACGGAACTCAAGAACAATGCTAACAAGTTGGCTAAGTGGACTGCACAGGCTCTTTTGGCGAGTGCTGATATGATGAAGTTGGGATATGTTTCTCGGATTCCTCCCCGTGATCATTTTAACCACATGATCTTGGCTGTTGTTGGATATAAACCTAAGGATTTTGCTGCACAGATTAATTTGAATCCGGGCAATATGTGGGGGATTGTGAAGTCTATTGTGGACATGTGCATGAAATTGAATGAGGGGAAATATGTTCTTGTGAAGGATCCATCTAAGCCCCAAGTTAGGATTTATGAGGTTCCAGCTGATGCATTTGAGAGGTCTGACACAGATGCAGTGGAAGAGCTTCCTGCAGCAGAATATGAATTTGTTGTCACTACTTATGCTGGGCTATACCGTCATAGAGTTGGTGATGTGCTGAAAGTAGCTGAACGTATGGAGCAAAGTTGCAGCAGCTCTGCGGTAATGTTTCCACAAACACTGTCTTTGCAGAAATTTCCTTTTTTTTGCAGGTTGCGGTTTCGTCGAAGTTTGACAGCAGGAATATGAGGCCAGAGCGTATACAACAGCGGTTCATCAACAACAGAGCAGTTTGTAGCGGCGAAAACCTACGTCTCAATCGAGATTAACCTCTCTTCATTGTCAATGTTGCTGAGTTGCGACAACTCCGGCAACGACTCCGCGTCCCTTTTGTAAGCTGCAACGATTTGTGTAGCAGATACGACGCCGACACCGACATGGAGGCTTTGATAGCATGTCTCACTTAAGACATCAGGTTGGACCAACTCCGTTTATTTGAGTTATACTTAAATTTAATCTGCAGGTTATCGATGTTTTCGTTGGTTTGTTTTTGTCTTGACACAAAGTTTTGATGTTGCTAATGAGTATTTATGTGATAACACAGTTTTGTATACATTTCGGTTTTGACTTCTTGATAATATTTATGTCCTGCTACATTGCATTGGTTTAGCTACTATTAAGAATGGTTATTATTGTTGGTATTTACGCGACATATTGTTAGCAAGTGTGAGGTTTAGATGGCAATGTTGTAGATTTCGTACGTTGATTTCGACTTGGTTCTGTAGATTTATATTGGCCTTTATCATGTTAGTTCTTGTTCAATACATTCTAATCTCAGATTTTATTGGTTTTGTTAATCTATTGAATGTTTGAGATATGTTGGTGGTGATTCAATTGCTTTCCCTTGCGTTGACTTCGAACGATGTATACAATGTTGAAGATGATTAAAAGAGGATGTGGTTTACCTCTGTGTGATAATAGCAGCAGAGTTTCATGATTGTGTTACCATCTTTGCAGTAAATTGCATTTTATTGCATGATAATTGGATGTGTTATGTTTTTCCATGAGGCTTTTTCCATGTCTACTGTTGGCCATGCATGGTAGTTCGTTTGATAGAAATTATAACTATAATGTTAATCATTTGCTAAATATTATAATGGTATTAGTTGTGATAAATATTTTAATGTGTTTAGATTATATGTTGGATTCTAATGATACAAATAAACTTGTCAATATTGCAAGTAAGTTGAGGCTCATAATGTGACCTTGGGTGTTTAGAAAATAATTAAAAGTTACATATTTGGAGCTAAGAATAAGTAATGACTAATGATAATATTATCTAAGATTCGGATTATTATTTTCATATTTTATTAATCTTGTTTTTGACTTTTTTTGTTAATATCAAAATTTTATAGTCCTTATTAAATTTTAAATATTTTAATTCAATTTATTTTCAAATTATTTTAATTAAATCACGAAAGTAGCGGGCTCTTGGGGTCTAGCACTCCTTGGGTTCTTGGACAATTGCTCTCGAGGCGTACGCCCTTGAGTTGTGGTTGTTCCGTCTTTCGGTTTCCAAAATGTTTTTTCATTCAATTTAATTGAAATTTTTAAAAGATATTTTTAAATAATTTTTATTAATTAAATATTTTTATAAGGAATTTTAATTATTCCTTATTTTAAAAAATATATTTCACAAATTATTCTCAAATAATATTTTAAATATTAATTCTTTAGAAAATTGTACTTTATTAAATAAGTTAAAATCATTTTTAGGATACTAAACTTTTTTCAAAACAATTAATTATAATTAGTTCTTTCTCAAAATCTTTTTATAAGCAATTGATTAATTAATTTTTTATATGAAAATTAAAACTATTTTTCTTAATTAAATTAAACAATTTTCCTAAAAAATTTCAAAATAATTAAATTCTTGGATCTCGCCTTCCTTGAATTTTTTAAGCGACTGCTCTCGAGGTGCACATCTCGAGTTGTGACCCTTTCGATCTTATTTTCTAAAATACATAGCGCGCCTAGTCCGAGTACGCCAATATTTTCAACTTATTTTCATAATTAAATCACGAAAGAGTCGAGTTCTTGGAGTCGCGCATTCCTCGAATTCGAGAGTGACTACCATTGAGGCGTACACCTTGAATGGCGTGTCGTTCAAACTTTCGTTTCTAAAATACCTCCTTTAATTATTTGGATAAGTATTCACTGTCCAACAAACACTATTTCATAATTAATGGGATGAAAAAGATTGTTGTTGGGATCTAGCATTCCAACGATATCCCGACTAATTGGTTGCGAGACTGACGTCTCGTTTATCGAGTAGTCGTCATTCTCCCCTAAAATATTCAACCCAACTTTCTTCTCTCGCCCCGTGCGATTGAAACCTTCTCAAACATATTTCATAGAATTTTTCGAATGAAAAAGGTGTCATTGGAATCCAGCATTCCAGTAATTCCCCGACTAATCGGTTGCGAGGCTGACGTCTCGTTTATCGAGTAGTCGTCATTCTCCCTTCAACTAACCTAACCAAACTCCTATTTCTTGCCCCCGTGCAATCGAAACCTTAAACTTATCCAAATATATCCTCTAATAAAAACATCCAATACGATAAACCTAATTCCTCGCCCTCGTGCGATTTCCAGCCCAAACACTTTTACAAAGAACATTGTTTAATCCCTTCTTCCGCGCATATGAACTCGTGCTTCAGCCTCCCCTAGCGAGCAGACAAGCCAACGTTTAGCAGTTAGAATGCGACCTAAACACTCGTTCGTTTACCAAACCTTTTACCGTAGTTAGCCGAACTACGACTGCTCTGATCTCTCATATCTATTGAGAGTACGTAGGCATAGGATTGCGATGATCCTAGCGAGCACTTTTCCACCTTTCCTTCTTTCCCACCTTTAGGTTCCCATACCTTTTACCAAAGAACATTGTTTAATCCTTTCTTCCGCGCATATGAACTCGTGCTTCAGCCTCCCCTAGCGAGCAGACAAGCCAACATTTAGCAGTTAGAATGCAACCTAAACACTCGTTCGTTCCCAAACCCTTTTACCGTAGTTAGCCGAACTACGGCTGCTCTGATTCTTCATTCTCTTTCGAATGTAAGATACGTAGGCACAAGATTGCGATGATCTTGGCGAGCACAATCCCCTCCTTTTCTCGTAGTCCCGCGAACTACGAACGCTCTGATTTTCCACTTCTTGCAAGTGAAGATACGTAGGCACAAGGGCCCCAATCCTTGGCGAGCACCCTATCTTAAAACCACACATTCCCCATAGGAGAAACCTTAGAAGAAAATAATTAAGCATAGTTAACTTTACTCTCGAATCGAATCAAGAGGTTCCCGTTGAGTACAACGGACGTAAAGGGTGCTAATACCTTCCCTCTGCGTAACCGACTCCCGAACCTAGAATATTGATTGCGATGACCATGTTCTTATCTCCTTAAAGGTTTTCTCGATATTTTCCTATTCCATCCATGGAATGAATAAAGTTCGGTGGCGACTCTGTTTCGAACAGTATTTTCCGCGGCCATCGCGAGGATCGTATTTTTCGAGGTACGACAAATGATATCAAAGTTGTGCAGCCACCAAAATTTGATGTAATCAAACTGGACATTACAAGACAACATGCAAAGCAAAGATTATTAGTAGTATACAACAACAATCTTAGTTGTCTGATTTTGTACTCCATAGTAATTTAACTAAAGATAGAGTCTCTACTAATTACTATCTAAAGAAGTCATGTTTATGCAACACATGAGCCTTTTAGTGGAAAATCGTTGAATTGCTTCATTCTGACAGTTATCAATAGAAGCATACAAGATGTGGTATGGTACATTCCAGTTGTATGATACCAATGATAACACTGAAAATGACACCACACTACTATCCAGTCTCAAGAACATAGTCTAAATTTTATTCCAAGGAAAATTATTCAAAACACATCATCCAATTGAGATATTCTAAATATCATCACTTGTATAGCTGCTTGAGTCTTCTACAGGCCTCCAAGACATTTTCCCTGTGACCAAAAGCACTGGCCCTGACAAAACCTTCACCGCCAGGTCCAAAACCACTCCCAGGAGTTGTAACCACGTGAGTCTTCTCGAGAATCTCACTGAACACGTCCCATGAACTTTGGCCTGGGAAGTGGACCCACACATACGGTGCATTTTTCCCTCCATAGACTTTAAACCCAAGAGAATCAAATGTCTCCATTATTATGTTGGTATTTTCTTTGTAGTATTCAATTACCCCACACATAGCCTGCATTCAAATGCATCAAATCCTATTATGTAACTTGTTCATTGAAAAACACATAACTTGATCAAATATTAAATCAAAAGAACCAACCTTAAGACCATCTGGTGAAAGGCATGCAAGACCACCAGCCTGAGAAATATTTGATGCACCATTGAAACAAGTACATACGATACGGTTGAAGTCCTTGGCAACAGGAAATCCATCAGAAAACAGTAATTCTTTTGGAACCACAGTCCAACCCAATCGGACACCGGTGAATCCAACATACTTGTTAAATGATGAAGTTTCAATGGCAACCTACAAAAGGCCATAACATGTCACTCACAGTCATATTTGAAAGAATTCACCAAGCATCAAAAGCAGACCCCTGAGACTAATTATAATGAAAAATTGTCCAACAATTCCCTGGATGGTAAGTCTGTTTATTGTTATTATTTCATTGTTTATGTTACAAAAATTCCCATAGTTGTAATTTAGAGATTAACCATCCAAACTATATCTAGAAAAGTATAAATCACATAAGCAAGTTGACAAACAGTTTCCAAAATAATAGCACACTCAAATGCTAAGAATCATATCATAGACTGACTACTGACCTCTTTGGCTCCAGGAATTTCAAAGACGGTGCGTGGGTTGTCACCAGTCATATACATAGCATATGCTGAGTCATGTATTATAATAGATCCATTGTCCTTGGCATACTGAACTAGTTGGACCAGTTGTTCCCTGGTTGCGGCAGCACCAGTAGGATTGTTTGGAGAACAGAAAAATATTATATCCGGTCGAGAAAGAGAAGATAAATCAGGGAAGAATCTGTTTTCTGGATTACACCTCATATATTCAATGTTCACAAACTTCTGAACATCCTTCTGGAACAAACCAGTCTGACCCATAATTACACTCGAGTCTACATAGGTCTGCGTATAAAACATCAGTTATTTACATAGAAGCTACAAGAAACAAACGGCCATTTAAGTGTTCCTTCACTTTCCTAATTTTAGGTATTATTCAAATTAAAATGAAAGGAGCATACGGATTTACAGAGAGATGTAGAAGCTGATGGATATGTGGGTTGGAGCAGAGAATTAAGAGATGAAACAGTGTCTTCGAATTTCTGCTTCTTCCTTAATTGCTTATGCAATTCTTCCAATTCTTGGTTCTTAAGAGATGAAAAGCAGTGGAAAAAGGAAGAGGGAAAGGGGGAAAAGTACCTGATGAACATGAAACACACTGAATCAATGATCTTGCGGTTGGTTCACCCTATCTTTGAACTATCTAACAAAGAGATAAAAAATCGTAAGAGAATCGAAATTATATTGAACCAACCGATTTTTTGATTTTGAAATCAGAAGAAAAAATACATGATTTTTTGATTTTTTTGGTACGAAGATGATCTTCCATTTGTTTGATTCTAGATTAATAAAATTGTAGGAGAAAGAATTTAGGTTTTCAGAAAAATGTAAGAGAAAGAAAAAGGAGTAGGAAAAGAGGAAAAAGAAGAGAGAGAAAGATGCAAATGTTAATATCAAAGTTGTATGGTTGAGGACTAGTGGGAGTGGAAGAAATACATCAAACTTCTCCTGAGAAAACGAGGCAGTTCTTGTAATAAGGCCCCCAGTACTTCAACTTCTGAAGACCAAGTCTCGAGCAAACCATCAGAGAGCATTCTCAACAAGATCAAAGGGAAGATCTTCAAGGGGGATCTCTTCTCCTTTTCACAAATGGACAAAGTCATCCATCTTTCTTTGGAGGCTCTTATCCAACAAGTGGACCTTCATTTAATTTCTTCTAAAGCTGCTACTGTCATCCTGGAAGTTGGTACTTTGATCGACCAAGTACATGGAGACCTCCGACTGCTGCCCCAAATTGAGAAAGCTATCTCGACAAAGGCTGGTAGTGAGGCTGCTGCTTGGACCGCTTCCGCTGAGTCTGAGAGTAAGATTGCAGAGCTGGAGGAAAGAAAAGAGAAGAACCAACAAGAGATTGCCACCTATGAGAAGAACACTTCTTGTTGGGAGTGCAAAATCAAGAAGCTTCGAAATAAGATATCAAAGACTAAGAAGAAAAATGCAGAATCATCTTCTTTTGATGACTCCACTCTATCAACTGAGCTCGAACATGCCATCAACTTTGCTGAGGAGGCTCGAAGTTTAGAAATAGAGGTTGATCAATTGGAATCTGACAAAACCTTGTGTCAAAAACGCCTCGAGCTCCAAAGGTCGAGATATTTCAGGATGCAAGAGAATCTCCCTTTTTAGTCTATTATGACCTTCTGTAATGCTTTACCGTTTGCTAGCCCTTAGAAGCCATGGTTTTTGTTTTAATGTTGTAATATACTGAGCCATTTTGGCATATTATATTAATACCATTTGTATCTTTCTTTTATGTCTTGAATTATTCTGCTGATATTTTCACCTCCTGAAGCGTAGACTTGTATTTTTTCAAATACTTACCATTCACTTTTAATACTCTACTATCTTCGTTTAGTTCTTCTACTTCGTACGCTCCATTAAAGAAAACCTTCGAGACTTGGAATGGGCCTTCCCATTTTGGGGACCATTTACCTAAAGACATGACCTTTCGATCCATAGGTAAGATCACCCTCCAAACCAAATCTCCAACCAAAAAGATCTTAGCCTTAACCTTCTAATTATATGACTTCTCTACTCTTTTCTTTTGCCTTCTCAAAAGTTACAGAGCCTTAAGTCTTTCCTCATCTAGATGCACCAACTCATCAAGCATCATGTCCCAATAAATTTCACGAGGGATTTCTTGATGTCTCTGAATCCTAACTGATTGTATGTAGATCTCGACCGGTAGTACTGCATCATGGCCAAAAGTTAGTCGATAAGGAGTGCTATTGGTTGCTTCCTTGGGGGACGTTCGACATGCCCATAGGATCTGGTCCAACATTTTATGCCAATTTTTAGGTTTACTCCCCACTTGCTTTTCTATCAACCCAATTACTACCTTGTTTCCTGCCTCAACTTGTCCATTCGCTTGGGTGTTATAGGGCGTCGAGGTTAGGTGCTTGAATATCATTTCTTTGGAAAACTTCTGCATCTTTCGACCAGTGAACACCGACCCTTGATCCGTTGTGATTGTTTCTGGCAGCCCAAACCTATAAATGATATACTTCCGAATGAAGTCGATGACATCCTCTTGATCTACTTTTGGTAAAGGCATTGCTTCGATCCATTTTGTTAAGTAATATATTCCCACCAAGATATACTTCTGGTTTTTGGAAGACGTTGGTCGAATCACCCTAATCAGATCCAAAGCCCATCCTCTGAAAGTCCAAGGTTTGACTTTAGAGTGTAATTCGCTCGCTGGGACGTGTTGTATGCCAGCATGTACCTGACACTCCTGGCAACCCTTGGCAAACTCAACGCAATCCTTTAACAAGTAGGCCAATACATGCCTTGACAAAATAATAACCATTTCATCTTGTGGCCTACTTGATGTGCCCCACACGTTCCACTATGAACTGATGACAATGCTAGGTATGCCTCAGATTCACTAAGGCATTTAAGTAGAAACCCCTCAAAGTTTTTTTTGAATAATTCATTTCCTAGGAAAACAAAGCTTAGTGCTTGATACTTAACTTTTTGTTCTGCAGACGCTGAAGGGTTTCGAAGGTATTCGATCAAAGGTTTTCTCCTATCTTTGTCCGTCAAACCCTCTACTGTAAAGATTTCAAAATTTTCTTCATCAGCATAGCTAAATTTTGTTGTTTCTAGGTCTGATGGTCGTAGGCCAACAGACACGACCTTGCCTCTAGCTTCGATTACTTCTTGTAGGTCTCCTTTCGATACCCTATATCCAGAGTCAATTTGTGCCAAATCGTTCGCCACTTGATTTTTTAGTCGCGGTATATGTCGAATGGTTGACACTTCAAATTTTTTGAGTAACCTGTTGGCTATTACGAAGTACATAATGAGATTTTCTTTAACACGTTTGTATTCCTTTGTTAGTTATTTTATAACCAACTCTGAATCTCCCATTATTTCGACTCGGTTTGCCCCCAATTCTAACAAAATTTCAAGTCCTGCTATCAATACCTCATATTCAGCCTCATTATTAGAGCATAGCCCTTCGACTTTATACTTGAATTTTGTTGGAATTTTATCAGGCGAAATAATCAATAGACCTATGCATGTTCCATTCTTATGGCTGGATCCATCGAAGTATAGCTTCCATGGTTCTAGCTCGATGTAATTTAGAACATTTTCATTTATGGAGTGGTCGACAATAAAGTCTGCCACTATTTGTCCTTTAACCGCCTTCAGCGGTCTATAAGTCAAAGAATGCTCAACTAATGCTAATGCCCACTTACCTATTCGACTATGCAAAATAGGCTTAGACAACATGTGTTTGATAACATCAAAATGCAAAGAGACATACACATCAACTGGTTTTATATATTGCTTTAACTTTGTTCACGAGAAATACAAACATAGACATAATTTTTCTATCATACTATATCTAGTTTCTACATCATTCAAAACCCTAATGAGGTAGTAAATAACCCTTTCGACACCATTCTCATATTCTTGAGCTAACATGCTCCCTAAAGTCTCGTCTGATGCTACTATGTATAGCCTCATGCTCTTGCTCCTGCACGGTGGCGAAAGCACTAGAGGGTGGGTCAGATAGTCTTTGATTTTGTCAAAAGCCTCTTGCTGATCTTTCCCCCATTCGAACCCTTCTTTAGTGACTCGAGGCAGTGGTGAGAAGGCCTGCGTTTTTCCGCTTAGGTTTGATATAAATCTTCTCAAGAAGTTTATTTTACCTAGTAACGATTGCAACTCCTTCTTGTTTGATGGCGCTTTCACCTCCATGATTGCTTTGGTCTTGTTTTGGTTGATTTTGATCCCCTTTTTTTGGACCACAAAACCCAAGAAATCTCCCGCCTGTACACAAAATGCACATTTTAGAGGATTCATCTTAAGACCATACTTCCTCATCCTTATGAAGGATTTTCGAAGATGGTCCACATGGTCTTTTCCTGACACAGATTTCACCACAATGTCATCAATTTATATATGCATGAAGGACTCCATATAATAATGAAAAATTGAATTCATTGCCCATTGATATGTTGCCCCAATATTTTTTAGGACAAAAGGCATCACTACCCATTCATAAGTGCCTAAGACCCCAGGACAACGAAAAGGTTTTTGGGAACATCATCTTCTGCAATGAAAATCTGATTATAACCAAAGTATCCATCCAGCATGCTAAGGTACTCATGTCTTGCGGCATAATCAACTAGCCTCTCTGCCACAGGCATCAGGTATTCGTCTTTAGGAGTTGTTGAGTTTAGATCTCTAAAATCTATGCAAACTCTTAAAGACCCATTTTTCTTAATGACTGGGACAATGTTAGCCAACCATTCAACATACCTGGTCGTGCGGATGAACCTGCATCGAAGGAGTCTTTCGACTTCCTCCTTTATTTTTGAGAGGATTTATGGGGAAAAACGTCTTGGCTTTTGTTTGATTGGCTTTTTCCCAGGCTCGACCGACAGCTTGTGTTCGACCAATTCCCTCTTCAAACCAGGCATCTCATCATAATCCCAGGCGAAACAGTCTTTAAACTCTTGCAGCAATTGAATAATTTCGACCTTGAGTTGAAGGTTTAGGTTGGCACTGATGTATGTTGGCCTTTTAACCACCCCTTCCCCTAGATCAAATTCTTCCAATGGGTCCTGCCCTAGCATTTTGACGTCATTCGCCAATGGATCCTTTTCGAATCCCAGAGGCTCTTCATCATATATAGCATCGAGCCTTTGGTCTTCGTGCTGAATCTTGTCAGGTGGTTCTGGATCGCAGTCCTTGCCAGGACCTTCTCGATAGGATTCCAACTTGGCCTCTTCAGCCATCTGGTTGCT